AAGTATTCTGGTTGTTAGGTGCCATTAAGTTGGTCTGACTCCTAGTGACCCTGTGAACAAGAGAAGGAGGCACAGCCCTGCCCTGAACCATTATCACAACCGTTGCTGGGCTGGAGCCTGTTGTTGCAGCCACCATGTGAATCCATCTCTTTGGGGGTCGCCTTCTGTTTCACTGACCTACTTTACCAAGTGTGATATCCTTCTCCGGAGATTGATCCCTCCTGATAACATGTGCAAAGTACGGGAGACAAAGTCTTGCCATCCTCCCTTCTAAGGATCATTCTGGCTGTACTTCCAAGATAGATTTGTTCGTTCTTCTGGCAGTCATGGTATATTCAGTATCTTCGCCAACACCATAACTCAAATGCATCAACTTGTCCTCAGTCTTTATTCATTGTCCAGCTCTTGCATGCACATGAGGTGATTGAAAATGTGGCTTGGGTTAGTCTCACCTTAGTCTTCAAAGTGACATTTTTGCTTCTTCACACTTTAAAGAATTCTTTTGCAGCAGTTTTGCTCAATGTAGTGTGTCGTTTGATTTCCTGACTCCTGCTTCCATGGGGGTCACAAACCCAAATAACTTCAGGAGCCAAGCGGGACGTGTCGGTAAGCCAGGTGCTGTGGTCAGCCGCTGATCTGGTGCATATCGCCCGCCCAAAACCCTGTGTAGGACAAACAGAACCCAGCAGTCTGCTCCTGCACTAGTTTAGATCAAGGCTTCAAAGACCTCAGTGAGCATGTGAGCTGTTAGAGCACACTGGTCCATAACCCAGGATTCTGGGTTAGAATCCTGGTTCCCCATTACTGGCTGTGTGACCTTAATTTAAGTAAGTAACCTCTCTGTGCCTCAGTCTACCACCTTGTTGTGAAGGTTAAATGAGTTTATTCATATAGAGTGCTTAGCACAATGCCTGGTACATATTAAGCATACAATAAATGCCCTGCCACGGAGTAGATTCTGACTCATAGCAACCCTGTAGGACAGCGTAGAACTCCCTATAGGGTTTCCAAGGCTGTAATCTTTACAGACTCAGGCTGCCACATCTTTCTCCCCTGGAGCAGCTGGTGGGTTCGAATTGCCAACCTTGTGGTTGGCTGCCGAGCGTTTTAACCATTGCACCACCAGGGCTCATACAATAAGTGTTAGTAGTAATTACCACATAGTCATAGGTCAGAAACCAGGCCTGGCACTACCTGTGCGTGCTGGGATGGGATGGGATTTCAGATCAGGGGGAACACATGGAGTCACAGAACCATGTGACTTTTGTTAAGTGATACGGCAGCTCTCAGCCCGTCACTTTCTGTTAAATAAGTTTGGGGAAGCTCATGGAGTTGTTGTGAATGAGGTAATATTTGTAAAAGCACTTAATAAGTGCTAAAGCAATGATCGTTACAATCATTGTGTTGGGGGTAGAAATTGTGTGTGTGGCAAGCATGTGCATGGGGTTGTATGGAGGAGCACAAAATAGCTTGGTAAGCATGTTCACCTGTGAGGGGGAAAGGAGGTCGAATGTGTGAACGATAGGAGCACCTCTGGGCATATTTGCTGTGCATGTGGGTGTGTGCGTGTGTCCTCCTGAGTGTGTGAGTGCATTGTGTGTGTGTGTGCATATGTGTGTGTGTGTGTGTGTGTGTGTCTATTCCCACTGGAACGCTGAGGGCAGGAGCGGAGTAACTACTGCTGGGAAAGTCTAGGGCCCTGGTCAGCATTCCTGAGGAGCTTGGGGCTTTCTTGGGCTGGGCTCCTGTCAGCACAGACCCTTTCCCCTCAAGGGCCCTGGACCAATGCCAGATCTCGCATCCTCACCTCCACCCTGGCGCTGGGGCTGCAGCGGCGTGGGTGCTGCCTGGCACAGGGTGCGTGTGCGCATGTTTGTGGAGTGAGCAAGACGAGATGCTGCTGACCTTCCAGGGTGGCCCCGCGGGACGGGGGCGGGGATGGCGAGGAGACCGCGTTGGGCTGCCAATGAGAGTGTGGCGGAACTCAGGGCCACTGCACCCCTTTCTGTGCCTTAGTTTCCCTACGTGCCCAGGTCCCAGGGGCAGATGAGGGGTGGGGGCGCGAGGCTCTCAGCGTAGGGAGGTGTGTGGTGGTAGTGCTGGGGGGCAGGTGAGCTGCGCCTCCCGGGACGCAGGGAGCAGGAAAGGCAGGGGCTCCCGGTGGG